GTTTAAACAAACTCCAAGTTTTGATAGTGGGGGGGGGGGGGGGGGTCATGGCCAATAACTTTACATGTAAAAGCCACACATTTGCCTCTGCCACCTCTAAATACTGGCCCACTCTAACTAATGAGCAATTTGACCCTAAGTAAAAATACTCTTTTCTTTTAACCAAACAAACTTTTACAGGGCTTGTGTTCAAACAAAAGATACTGATGTATCATTTTGACTAATAATGCGTAAAGGGAATCTGCACTTTGCCTGTTAAGGGACAGGTTCCCCTGAAAGCTCTTTTTATCACACAGCGATACATACTGTGGTCATGTTCCCCTGCAGCTATGTACCTCTGGCGGAGCTGTGGGTCTAAACCCTGTATAAGTCTTGATTACAGAGTACACAATGCCAAAGCTTACACAGGGTTAATGACTTGCTCTCCTTCACCATGTGACAGTGTTCAAGCCTAGTGATTAGCTACTCAGACCCAAGCACTGCATGGCATGAAAGAAGGGGGAACATCATATGCTTCCTGATAGCCAGAAGTGCCAGGTATTTCCTACGGCTCCAACAGAGGCATAGAGCAGTTAGGGAGCATGTGGAAAGTGGGTATCAGTACATATGGGGGAAGGGAGACTTCAAAGAGCACTAAATTGGACAGATTATCTTAAATGAATAGTGGTTAACACTGCCTTGCAGCACTGGGGGGTCTCTGGTTCAAATCCTGGCCAGGTTACTAACCGCAAGGAGTTTGCACGTTCGCCCTGTGCTTGTGTGGGTTTCCTCCCACACACCAAAGACATGCTGAAAGGTTAATTGGCTCCTGTCTAAATTGAAAAAAAAAAAAAGACACAAACAGCGCTCTTGGATGGGGCCCCAGGGGCGGATAACTAACTAAAACATGCAGCCCTGGGAAACAGGAGGAGAACCTGTGAATGCAAAAACACAAAGGAACACAAAGGGCGCAAGGACAATGGAGCACTAGCTAACTTGGCAAATCGTAGCAAAAAAATCTTTGTGTAAACACTTACATGTAGGTCCGGGGACCAGCGGAGGGATAGCCTGCATGGAGGATCGGACACCCGTGGTGTGTGCCCGAATCTGGCTGGTGTGCTGCCTGAAGAAGTTCGTCCACGCGAGGGAGGAAAAGGCTGTGGGCAAGGAGGGGGAAGCGGAGCGGGGACTCAGTCCGTGACACCATTATATGAATTAGGGATATGAGCGGTGTGAAGGAAACTTAGCGGTGCAGGCTAAGCTGAGGTGGCCGCGACTATGAATGTCAGTGCTCCGTCTCTGTCTGGAGCAGTGTGCGGGAGCCGGTGTGACGGAATGCCGGCAGGCGGCGGGTGATCCGATCCGTAATGGTGATGAGATGGAGGTTGTTAAAGGGGGGGAGAGAGCAAGCGTTTCGAGGTATCACCTCTTTCTCAAGCTCGGCTAGAACGATATAGCGATGGCGCGAATCCGCCGGTTTAAAAGTGACAGGTGGGCGGAGCTACAGGCAATAAGGGGCAAACCCACGGTTTGATACTGGGGACAGGGTTGCTGGACAAGGGCATGTATTTAGAAGCTCAGTATACATAGGGGCATTGTATTTAGAAGCTCAGTATACATTGGGGCCATGTCAGACCGATTATCAAAAAGGGTACTTTATTTAAAAGGATACTTTGTTTAAAAGCATTTTATATTAAAAAACGAATAATAAAATAATTAAAAGAGAAATAAATTAAAATTTGGTTTAAGAATGCATTGCAAAAACTATTTTTTAAGGTCCCTTACTCATCATGGGGGATACTCTTTATACCCCCTTAATCATCATGGGGGACGCTGGATGGGTGGTAGACGAATGTGTTTTTGGTTCTAGTGTACTGGCGCTTGAAATGGTCATAAAGGCGTTGGTGTTTTATATGATGGTAAGAATCTCTAATTCTTCATTGAGTCCTGTTGGAGCAAGGGTGTTGAGTCTATGAATCCAAAATGTCTCCTGTCGACACAACCTCTGGAATCGCTCAGCTGGGGAAAACCCAGATCCTGAATCCGTTTACCATGCTTTGCGGCAAAGTGTCTGGGGACACTATGATCGCAATCACCATCAGCAATGAAGCGTCTATGTTTGCCTATCTTCTTTCTTAGAGGGCGGATGGTGCGGCCAATGTATAATAAGCCACATGGAAATTTCAAACCATAGACCACATGGTCATGCGAGCATGTGATGAACTGTTTGATCTGATACCTGTTATTGAGGTGGTCAGTGAATGTGGATTGTCCATGAGTAATAAACTGACATGTGAGACAGCGGGATTTTTTGCATTGATGAATGCCCACTCCGTTATCGAATCTTTGTTGTGGTGTATCTCTAGTGTCTCCGGCTGGTAACTTACTTGGTGCTATTTTATTTTTGAGGTTGCGGGTCTTTCTAAAGGTGACTGCTGGTTTGGATGCAATGAATGGGCCTAAAGTGCTGTGTATATTGTCAGCGCTACATAAATACCTGTAATAAACAAATATCAAACTATATAGCAGGATTGTTCAGCCTCAAATAAAGAAAATGTCTTACCATACAAGCTTGACTTAGTCTGTACTCCATTGTTAGTACCTCTTGTAGTGTTAAGGAAGAGCCATTTTTAAGCTGTTTGAATGTCATTTTTAGGGATGTTGGAGACATTTTAGAAAGTGTCTGCAATAATAAATATAATTATCAAATAAAAGACAGCATAGTAACAAATTAATTTGCAAAGTAATACCGTACAATATACAACTATATCAACAATATACAAACAAATATATTACATTAACACACATAATTGGCATGCTTGACAATAACTGCAAGGTCCAATTCCTGTGAACAAAATTTTTAAGTGGTTTTGCAATCATCTCCGCCATCCATGTGCCAAGATTGTGTGGCTTAAGGGAGAATGGAACTCCAGAGTTTTGATATAATATTTGCAACTTTTCAGTTTGGTGGGAAGCTTGGTCTCACAATAGCATCTATAGTATGAAGAGGATCATTCACCATTGCACACCTTGTAGGCAAATTGTAGGTTCCATTCTAATGAAAACAAAAGTATGTTGCACAAGGAACACTCTAACAAAGACAAAAAATCGCAATAAAATTTGTAATTTTATAACAGTAGCCCCTTGTATGGGTTACTTTTGCACTTACTATGGCAGCTACAGGCTTGTGTAAGAGAGGTGTACGGGGGGGAATACAGGCAGGGCTGTCATTCAGCAAATACCTGATAGGGCCCCCCTCCCAGATCCTTAATTCTTCCAACATGTCTCTCTCAACGAGGACCCAGGATATGGGTACTCGGTACCCTATCTGTCCCATGATTCCCCTTGCATGTCTGTGAATACTTCTCTACCATTCTACCTGGTCTGTGATAGTGTCTAGGGCTAATAGAGTAATGTACTCCTGCTATGTGGGTCAAGCCCTGTCTGACAACATATGTGGATATGTGGAGGGTAACAGACAGGTACTCCCCCTGGCATGTGTGTAAAGCCCAGTCGGCCCACTCTCATAAGGTGTCAGTCTCCTGAAAGCCCAAACTTTAACACTCTGGTTGCCCACCAGGCAATGAAGCCCAGTCAGAGGGTACTAGGGGGGCAGCACATCACCCTGTACCCCATACACTCACCATTGCAGAAATGGAAGAGTGAGGTGATGTCATAATGCTGGAGGAGCTGTTCTCAATGTTGACCAACTCTGGCATCCCCTGTGTTCAGCAGTCTCTATCTGTCCCTTAGACTTCCTCTCTAATTAACTTACTAGGGATGTGGTGCTGGTCATTCAGGGTTATATACAAATTATTTCTTCCTGTTCCTGGTCTGCAGATCCACCTCTGTTACCTTGATAACTGTGGGACTACCAAGGGACCTATGTCTAATCATTCTTTGCCCCCCTGGAGATACCCAACCACTTCAAACGGCCCACTTCTGTTGAAATGGGTCTGTCAGTGAGGTAATCTTTTGAGGAAATTAGGACTGGGTCACATGGCATATTTGAAAGTACTAGAATTACTATTATTAGAATAGCATTCAATTGTGGAGGTCATATTGGAGTTTTAGGTGCTGAAATGTTGGGATGTATCTCTTCTCCGCATGAGATGCTGCAGTGTTTTTATACCTAAGAGTGCCCATATTTGGGAGTCAGATATTGACAGAAAATTAAGTACATCGGGGTTGTTCCACAGTGAGTGGAATGGGAGACCAGTGATGGGGCTTATAGAATGTGTTTAGCTAAGAACCACACTCAAAGGGTGGTTTTTGTAGGTGTTGGTAAGAGGGAATATGCTTTTGGGCCCCTGAAAACTAGATTGCCAATTTCTGCCGTGTTATCCCCTGTTTGCACAAACCACTATCTCACTGTAACAAAGACCGAGGCCCGTTGGTAAATATGGAAATCTAGAAATACTAATCCCTCCTTCAGAATTGGCAGATGTAGAGTGGACTTCACCATCAGTGATGGGTTCCCAGCCCAGAGAAAGGTAGAAATGTAATTGGTTGGTAATCTCCTGAAATATCTTTTTTGGAATCAAGATAGGGCATTGTCTGAAGACATATGTGAATTTAAAAAGAAATATAATTTTAATTAGGTTAGCACGTCCTATCAGGTTTAGTGGGTGTGGGGACCAGGAGGAACAGTTATATTTCAATTACTGCAGAAAAGGGGTAAGCTTCAGGGTGAGGAAATAGTTTACATCTCCATCCACATTAATTTTCAGGTATTTAAAACCTCTGCAAGCCTGAATGATGCAGCACTGAATTTGTGTTATCTTCATATGTACACAGCCCCCCTTTCCTTTAAATTTATTTCTGTTTGGGGAAAGGGGGGGTGTAAGTAAAGTTTTAAGATGGAATGATTTTACATAACCATGCAGCCTTTCTGCAACTAAAAAAAGGAAGGTTTTTCACACATCTGTAATGACTGCTTTGATCCATCACTGACCACCTAATATGGCTATTATGATGCTGAAAAAATGAATATTAACTATCATTAACTATATCAAATTTATGAACATTTAAGAATGGATTGTTTTTCTTACCTAAACTTTTAATTTGTGAGGTTACAAAACAACAGATCAATTTAAATTAGAACTAAAACTTATCACTAAAATCTCATATAATTTGTAAGCTCTTACTAAAAGTTTTAAAAATTAAAGTTTAATAAAATAAAGAAATGTTTAAAGCCTCTCCACTCCCACATAGATGCACATACGAACATAAATGCACGTGTGGGGTGCACATGTGTGTGAAAACATTGAATGTGCCACACATATTAGTTATGACTGGAGTGAGGGAAATAATTCTAATGCCATCATTCACTGGTTATTCTAAACCGATAAGTTCCAAAAGCTTCTGAAGCATTGCCTATGGACAATATGGGGTATTGTAGTTTTTTGTTGTTCAATGGGCTTGCACAATTTTAAGGTTTGACATATTTAGCATCTATATGCTTGACGGAAGCGCATATTTCAAATCTTACCAAAAAAACGGCTATTACATTGTGTATGTGTGTACTAAAACTATTTGAGTGTATTTTTTACAGAAAATATGGGTTTGATAAAAGATTGCACTGATATCATGTGACACAAAAAATTGCCACCATTTTATTCTATATGGTGTTTCTAAAATGTGCATTTTATAATGTTAAAGGGTTAACGAGGGTCCTTCTAAAGTTTCACATATGGTTTGTATGTATAGTTTAAATTAGATATATGGTGGTTAGTACTGATTCTGGAGACCAATTTCAGTTTGCTTTGTTACACTCTGATTGTAATCTCTTCGATATTGACAATGGTATTGTGATGTCTCCACAACACTGTTGGGTTTATTGCATTAATGTTTATGCTGTTTCTTCTATGGGACAGCCATAATAGCGGCTTGTTGCTTATCCTCCTATCTGTAATATATGCAATGTTTTAAGAAGGCAGTAGCCAGCTTCGGCTTTCAGCACGGCTCAGCCGAGCCGATGCATATGTGTTCGGCTCAGCTGAGCCGCTCGGCCATGATCGGGAGCTGTACGGGCTATTGTGAATAGCCCGTACAGCACCCCTTCGGTTCTACTGAACCGAAGGGGTCCTGGGGCCGAAGCCAGCCGAAGTTACGGCCAGATCCTTAAGGAGCTTCGTGAATAGACCCCTATGTCACAGTATTTTATTGTGAGGATTTCTGGCACCTTTTGGTCCACCATAACATAACCATAGTGATTTAATAAACTCACGAAAGGACAAATTGAACAATTGACCTTACTAAATTACATGGTATAGTAAATACATGATAAAGAAACTTTACAGCCTCTGTGTGTACCATTGCTGAAAACATATAAAAAAGACCTGTCACTTCTAAAATAGCTCATTTATTCATTTTTATGTAAGTGACGAAATGTTCCATCTTTGACAACAATATTTATTTCCATAGCTACATAATTTCCCAGAAACAACTTGACCCTTAACTGAGTCTGCCAATTTTAGGATGCTTCCCCTAACCACTTGTGTTCTAACAACTTATAACCTCTACCTCCTCTACCTTCCTCTTACTACTGTCCTCAAGCACAGTCTCTCCACTTTTTTGCTGCCAAACAACATTAAAGTGACATTAAACCCTCAGATTTTTTAACATAAAACAATACTGTAATGTGTGCCTTACTGTAATCCATGGTTGTTTCACTTCTCTTTGCTGCTCTTCCTTTTAAATCTGTATCTGTTCTCATGCTGGGCAGAACTTGTGTTTTGCAGCAGACTGCCTTGTCTCTGAAATGGATACATGGTGTCTGTGTGTAGGTTTGCAACCTGAGGCAGCACTACAGGAAGAGGCACTCAGCTGCAAAGGGAAGTTCTCCCCCAGCATGAGAAGACATGAGGATTTAAAAAGGAAGAGCAGCAAAGAGAAGGGAAACAACCATGGATTACAGTAAGGCACACATTAGACCAGTGGTTCTCAACTTGTGTAACCTCAGGACCCACATTTGTCCTCGGTCATGAAGTCGTGACCCAAGTCGCACTGCAGTGGAACATATGGCAGTGTGGGCTGCTGTGCTGTGATGGAGCTCCATCCATATGTGCTTTGCTTGTGCCGCTCACATGTGCACCCTGTAGAGGTGCTGGGAGCCAGAATGTGATGTCACTCCAGTCCAGGAACCTCTACAGGACATGCGAGCGAGCTGTAAGTAATGAATGTATGGAGGGAGCTTCATCGCAGCCATACCCCCAGCCCACCCCACCTCAAGTCAACACTTGGCGCTGGGCAGCATATTTTGAATGGCTACATGGTGTAAGAATGGACAGTGCTGCACTACAGGGGGGCTAGGGGGAGGCTGAGGAGCCTCCCACCTAGAAAAGTGGAAGGCATGCGGCGACCCACTTAACATGGGGTCGCGACCCACTTTTGGGTCACGACCCACCAGTTGAGAACCAAGGCATTACAGTATTGGTTTATGTTAAAAAAATCTGAGGGTTTAATGTCACTTTAACATATTCACTGTACAGCTGAAGGAGAAGGAATTAGCATGTAGAAGACTTATCTTAAGAATCAACATCATAGATTAGACTCTTGGGCAAGAGTCAGAGAAATCGATTTTATGGAAAGTAGATAAGATAATAGACATTTTTACTGTAGTGGAAAATGTCATAACTTGCTTAGAACTGATTAGAGTGACCTCTCAGTAACTTTACAAGC